ATTTTTTTTAATGCTCGAAATCGAAAAGATCGCTGGAAAAGAAAGCCAAAAGGAAAAATCATATACCTGTTTGGCTTAGCTTTTGAAGTCATCTATTTGTTTCCCTTGTTATCGAAATTCATGTTGCCTTCGTTTTTCTTCTTCTGTGCTTCGAACGGAAATGAGAAATGTCATAAATTGAACGAATTCATTCATCATTCGTTTGGGTGTGATTTGGTTTGAATGAATGTCCATGGCCATAATTGCAAATCATCAGAAACGAAACAGGAGAGAGAGAGTGTCATGAATTTTTAATTCGTGTTGGCGAATGGACATCAATCATGAGGTAGATTTTGTCAAAGTTTTGAAAAAAAAACCAGGACTGCTGCTCGAAAAAACTGGGTCGATATTCCCTAAGATTTCTCTATTTCCTAAAAATTACAAAAAACAAATTGCAGATAAAACTACAAATTCGAGTCAAAATGTTCTTAAAATATTAGGAAAAATCTGCAATACAGGGTGAGATAAAAAAACTGCAACCGACTTCAGGTTGTTGTCATTTCTAAGCCACTCGTTCGACAGCTGTTAAAATAATTCCAGTGACAGCTCATTATATTGTTTACAAGCGTACAAAAGCTTTTTTGGGGAGAACTTTCCAGAAAAAAGTTATTCGTAATGGAATTCAAACGTGATAGTGTTATTTCTTTATATTTGGCTGGAAAACCACAAGTGGCTACCGTTAGAGAACTCCAGCATTCAAATGTGAATAAATCTTTTGTGTCTCGTACCACCGCTCGTTACCGTGATACTGGTAGCGACGTCAAGGAAGTGGGCGGAAAAAAAAACAGCAAAATCAGCAGAAATGGTTCGAAAAGTAAAGAAGCGACTTGATCGAAACCTGCGTCGCAGTAGTCGAATAATGGACTCGGCACCATCGCACTCAGCACGCGCCACCCAAGAATGGTTACAAAATGAGGTTCCTCGCTTCATTTTCAGCACTCAATGGCCACCAAAATCTTCGGATTCCAATCCGTTGGACTATTGTGTCTGGAGTATTTTGAAAAGCAAGGTTGGCACTAAAAAGTGTCGATCACCTCAAGCAAGAGTTTCGCCGGGAATGGGCCAAAATACCGCAGAGCAACATTAGGGTAGCCTGTGACGGTTTCATTGGCCGTTTGAAGGCCATAATTCCAACGATGACCAATTCCAACAAACCTAAACTTATTCTAAAATTTGATGCTATTTCCGACATTTTTCACTTTCATTCAATAAAATTAAAAAAAAAAAAATGTAAAAATCATGGCGTTTGACTTTGTTGCAGTTTTTTTTTATCTCACCCCAGATCTCGAAATTATCAGCAAATTTTTTTAATTTTAAACATCATAAAATTTTCTATTTATTTTTCCTTAGTTACTAGCTGATCCGTCTTGCTATAATATTTCTGGTTAGCTAATTTTAAAAATACATGCTGTTCCATAGAGATATCTTGCGAAATTTCATTCATCAATTTTTTTAGAAAATTTCACAAATAATAATTAATTCGATTATGTCCAGAACCATGCGTTATATTCTAAAATGAAATTTGGCCAAAATTAAGGAAATTCCCCCAAGCATTAATTCATTCACAATCCACTTCCGAGTGCAATGACTTGACTGCGGGATTTCATTAGCAGCGGTTATTCATGGTGTATTAGACGCCAAATTTCCACAACGAGTTTTTGCATGAATGGATGAAAGTGGCAGTTTGGTATAGGCACTAGTTGCCGGAATAAAGAATATTGATAATTAATACAGCTGACCCTCTTTGCTGTTTGGCTTATCCTTTCTCCCTTTATTCTTGGCAGCACATTTTACAAAGCTGGTAATTATGTTATAAACATTTTTGTGTTTATATAGTCGATGTTCTGCCGGTGTTCTTGTTGGTGATTATAATTAAAAAAATCAAGATAAAATAGTGGCATAATTGGAAATGATTAAAAGCTTCACTCCTTTCTAAAAAAGCAAACGACCAAAAACATGGTTCATATTGTTTAGCAACGAACTAATTGACCCACGAACATAACACCGACCCTCTAAACACTGGGGCAAGGCACCACAATGTTGGCATGTGGAAAAGTCATTTTCCTTGCCATTAAGTCATTTGACACTCCTGCATGCAATGTCTGATTCAATATCAAAAGCAAAAGCGAGAATCAAACAATTTCACTGGAATTCATTTTGGAGTTTTTGCGAGGTTGCAGTTTGAGAAAGTTTGAATGTGTTGCATGTTTGACTCAATGCATATTTATGTGGGGTGCGTGTGTGTGTGAGTGATTGTTGTACACTGTCATATATTGAACAATATGGGTTTGTTTACACATTTTCCAAAAATAAAAGAAGAAAAAAATCTAGAGTGTTAATTGTTTAAATTTGTGAATTAAATTCAAATGAAATGTTTACTCCAGTTATTCTATAAGAAAATAGCAATGAAGAAAGCATATAAATGAAGAAATAATATAAATTAAATTATTTTGAGGTTTGCACGACTTTTGTTATTTTAAAGTGTCCAACGCCTTTTTTACATTGAATCGGTAATTGATTGGAAATTACGAAGTCTTTACGTCTTAGCATATGTCAGCTCAATTTATTCAACTTGCCACCATTCAAAATTCTAAATTGTAAGCAAAGATTGAACGAAGATTTTTGATGTTTTGGAGATGTATACTACATTTTCTAACTCCTCCTTAACTCTTTCTTGCTCTTTCTCTCTCCTCTCTCTCTCTCACACACTCTTTATTTGTACCTTGATGCATTTTTGTAATATATAACACAATAACAATAAATTTCAATTACCTTTTGGTAAGACTTGGGAGAAACATTATACATGCTGCGTCTGCCAATCTACATTACCTTCCACACCACTAGTTCGAAGGCAAAAGCTCATTCATAATATTGAGAATTAGTGTTTTTATGATGATGCATGTCTAGTTCGGTCGTTAGGCAATTTGATTTGTGGGTAACTGCAAAATGCAATTGCTATGCAGTTAAGAGGCGGAGAAGCATTGCAACATAGCATGTTGCAAATGCAACAACATTTTTGGGTTGCTTACTAAGGTTGGCACACATGTGGGCAAAGGTTTATGGATTTCTATTGTTTTCCCTCTCCTTTGCCAAGCAATTCGTAAAAATTATCGGTCTCTTGGGAGGGGATGTACCAAATATTTCAACCAGTGCTGGACGTTAAGGCATGCTTTTTGAGTCAGACTGATGATTGCATTTGAAAAGTAAAGCAAATTTAGACTTTGAATCGCATTTGTCACATCACATGTGATTTTCATTTTATATTGGGCGCCACTGTAAAATTATAAAATGAACAATTTCCTAACAGTGATACTAAAAGCATATTTCCTTCTCACAGCAAATTTCAGATAATTAAGCTCGTCTCGAAAGAGAAATAAACGCATAAATCATAAACATATGATCTTCGCCTTAATAAAGTAAAACTAAAAAATGGATACCTTTTTTCATTGGGCACCACAGTAACATTCCAAAATAAAATTGTAAGAAATCCTCCTGGCAGTTATGTCAAAATATATATTCTAAATATTTTCATATTATTTGTGCGCCACGGTGCTAAAATAAACTGGTTAGATATCCTCTTAGCCGTTTGTAAAATTGTGAGCTAAAACTGAAACAAACAGGCCCCACATACCAGTACCCAGTACATAATTCAACGTTTATTTCAAGTTTCGAATTTGAAGTTTCGAATTTGAATATTTCATGAGTAACAAAGCCTATGTAGGTCCATGTCGTATAGACCCCAATATAACGGATATATTCGGCATTTTTAAGATTTTAGCAGAATTTTTAATGGATTTTAATTCTTTGAAAACTTCTAAACTTACTACTTCCAAACTTACTGATTCGTTCCAAACATACCGCTTTTTAACTTGTTTGTAAATATTTTAATTTTTCATTGGGCGCCGGTGGAGAATAATAAAAAGAACCTGTTTGATTTTATGCCAGAGATTATTCTCCAAATAATTGTGTTTTACAAGAGGTAACATTGTGGACCAAAATCCAAATGGTCATATTTCGGGTTTTGAAAGTAAAAACCGATTTTGCCATATCACGTGAAACCTTTAAATATTTCCATTTTTCATTGGGCGCCACTGCAAAATTTTAAAAAAAAATTATTCCAAAATGTATTCTCAACACGAACAAAAATTTGAACCTTTTGACAGTGAATGCCAACAATCGCTACAAAAATTGTTAGCCTAAATCCAAATTAGTTATCTATTTGAGGAATGGGGTTTTTTGGGCTTTGAGGCGGTAGGGAGTTAACCTGGTCTCTTGGTGCGTATACAAAACGTTGGGGTAATTAAAATGTTGTTGCTATGTTTGTTGTTACCAAATAAACAACCAAACCGAGCGGCCGTTTGCCATGGTCACACATGTTGAGGCACACACACCTTCACCCCTTGCCATTGGCTTCAAATGGGCCAGCACTGCCACAACACCCCTAATGTAGATAATTGAAATATGTGATTATGAATATTTATTATTGTCGAGTGAATGTGTGTGTGTGTGGGGGGGTGTGTGTGCAAGCATGCTAGAGGGGCAATTAAAATCAAAATAAATGTGTACAAGGAACCCATTCCAAGTGCCATTCGGGATAGTCAGTCAACAAGGGACCACTGTAGTTGGTTTGAAATCACCACGCCAGCTACGTTTGATATGTAAATTAATGAAATGTTCTTTGGAATTGTTTACGAATGTGCTGTTGTTGTAGTCACTGCTGTTACGAATTCAGGTTATTAATTGAGTTTTGTAGTTTTGTTTATTTTTAGCCTTTTGAAGTGGGAATTCGGTTGTATATTTTTGTTGTGAACCTTGGCCCCCAAAATGGGAGCGGGGGGTGGGCAATGGCATCCATTGCATCCATAATAGTTTGTTGTTTTAGTATTTAATTAAAATGAATATGTTTTGTTATCAACTCCTGAATGTGGTTATTAATTTTCGTTTCGTTTCTGCCTTTTCAGGATTTTCTGCCGATGGCGACGATGAGAGCAGTGCTGCTAAACGTCGCCGTTCTCGCACCAATTTTAATTCATGGCAACTGGAGGAATTGGAGCGAGCCTTTTCGGCCAGCCATTATCCCGATATTTTTATGCGTGAGGCTTTGGCCATGCGTTTGGATTTGAAGGAGAGCCGTGTTGCGGTAAGTTTAGTTTTAAATGGATGCTTAAATTTTGGATTTTATATTGAAGGGATATTGGGTCGGGTAGCATTGTAATATTAAAGGTAGCATAGCTTACATTTTTGGGAGTAAATTTTTTGGGTGATTCAAATGAACAGACTGATAAAACTAAACCCCCTTATTGTAATAAAACACCTGCATCTAAATCGATTTTTTTGTGGAATGGTTGAAGTGATTGGAAACACTTAATATCAAAAAACCAGGCACAGGCACAGTTTTGAAAAGATTTTTTTTTGTTACGACCCTATTTGCCAAATTTTTAATTTTTTAAATTTACTGTAACTTGGAATAGTATCAAATCAAACAACGTCGTTTTGTTTTTTTTTCGTCCAATATGTAATTGAGAATCTTCATAATCAATATCCCGGTTCCGTAAAGAGAAGAAGACAAAAGACTGTGGTTCCTTAATTTTGCCCACAGTTTATAGTATTCTTGGGATACCGGGCGGGGTCTTTTTCACCATTCCAATTCAGTTTCCTTTTTTATTTTTATTTTTAATAAAATCAAAAACTTATACTTATACGTATTCTTAAATAAAACTAGTTTTGATGTACTTCCTTCCTTTTTTTTAAGTTTTTAGTTTTAGAGTATAGGGTAGGTACCTGCGAAATAGTAACCTTAAGCCATTTAGTTGTAAATTATCCACCATATCTTTATGCTTTTCTAATATTATACGCTTTGTTTCAGATAGGTATGGTTCCAGAATCGGCGTGCCAAAGTTAGAAAACGTGAGCATACCAAAAAAGGACCCGGTAGACCTGCCCACAATGCCCAGCCCCAGACGTGTTCTGGTGAACCAATCCCGCCCAATGAACTTAAAGCTAAAGAAAGGTAAGATTATTAATTTAAAATGTATTATTTTGAGGTTTCCTATCTAAGGGACTTAAATTGGAGGTTTGTTTGTTCAAGGATTTTTACAGACCTTTTTCTAAAGAAAAGTTCTTGAGAAATGTTCTGTTTGTAAATGCCACTAGAGCAGCTTAATCCATAGCGGAATATTCACTGATATTGTTTTGAAATAGGTTCTAAATAGGCCCTTTCCTAGAAAAATCTGTTCCATGCATTCACTGCAACCGAAAAAGAATAAAATAAAATTGACATACGTTTTCATAACATTGATGTAATATTTCATTACTTTAATGCAACAATTCATTGCATTCAGGCAGCTTTCCTTAACTATCATAAATTTTTATAAAATTATCAAAATATTTTATCACATTGATGGAACAATTCAATACATCAACGTAAAACATCATAAAAGCCCTTCGATGATGTAATTAGCAGAATTTTATTGTCTGTTTGGCAGACACCTTATACTTATTTCGAGATAGAGGATGTGTTTGATGCAGACCTCGGAAAAACTTGCTCGAATTTGTACAAAGAGTGACACTTTTCCTAGTTTTTGAGTGGGAGCAAAATTCGTTTAAAATTGAGTAGATTCTGCTCTTAACGAGCATTCTTTTAGTTTTGCCATACGGTTGTGGTATTCCTATATTTGTATATTTTCTGTACAAGTTTACCCCTTCACCCCGCCTTCCTTCACCTTTTTATCAGTTTTTTATTTACAGATTACCTGTTATATATCTTATATTTCAGGAAGATCCTTTAGAGGTTTTATATTTTTAGAAATCCCCTTTGGAAACCTCAAATAATAGAAGACATTTATCTTTTTAAGTTTCTAAAAATTGTTCTATTTCTATTTGCAAGAGGTTCTTTAGAGTTACTCAATCTTCACAAGCCATATATTTTTTTATTTGTATTTTAATTGAATTGAGTTACGCAAAAAATTGAAGCGCTTCTTTAATATTTCTTTTTTTAATCCAATTGTTATTTTCTTTCTTTTCCGCAGAGCACGACGTCGAAAGAAGCTTGCCAAGGCAATCGATCGACAAGCCCGCAAACTACAAGCCAAAGGCATTACCGTCGATTTGGAAGCCCTCAAGGCCGAATACATATCTCAGCACAAAGCTAATGGAACATTTTCCGACTCGGATCTCGAAGATGATAGCATACAGATCGATGTTGTCGGCGGAACCGAAAGTGATGATGAATGCGACGATTTCGATTTTCGTAGTCCGCGTGGCAGTGATATGGCCAACAACAGTTATTCGCCCAGTGGCAGTCCCAACGGTCTCGGCAGTCCCATGTCAAATGGTGGCGGCATCGACACCTCGCGAGACGAAGACAACAACAGCAATCACCAACAGATGCACATGCAAATGCATTTGCCCAACGGCAGCGAAGGTTGTGACGTGAAGCCATTCCTATTTCCCGGCAGAGCCACAAATTTCCAAATAAAATTACAAAACACCTCATCATCGTCATCCTCACCCTCGCCCAATCACCACCAGCAGACCTCACCGATTAGCATAAGACGCAGCAATCCGTTTAGCATAGAATCACTGCTCTTCAACAATACGTGAGTGCTATAAGGCGGAGGTGGGAGGAGCCAGGTACATATATTTTTAGCAAAAGAACCAAAAAACTAAAAGAAGAAAAAATCATGCAAAACACTTCGAAATGGTTGGCATTTAAAATGAAAACACACCTCTAATTTTGTCGGGTGACAAATGGTGGCTCATTAACATTGCCGCAGTTAGTTATTATGCCAACGGTAGAATGGAAAAAATAAGCATTAAGAGCAAGCAAAACAACAAATTTACCAACATGTTCCTTTTTTTTGTATTTTAGACGTCTTTCCCAGTTTAAGGCTAAAAAAAACATATTAATTTAAGTGTTTTATTTTTTTCGTTTTGTTTTATCGTTTCGTGCACTATCGAAATTCCTTTTCAATGTTTAAAAAGGTAATTGCATTGTTTTAAAGTTAATGTCTTCTTTCGGGGCATATCGTTAATGCCTACCTACCGTAATTCAAGACAGCATCTCTTGTAAATGTGGCAATATTTTCAATATCAAAAAACTCATCGAAACATTGTCGAAAAAATCTGATAGTTTGCTATCGTTATTTTTAATGACATGTAAATGCCAAACAAATTATGTCGTTATTAAGAAGCAAATTTATGATGACTTATTTCAAAATCAAGAGCAATTTAGTGATAATATAAGAAAATGAGATCAGAAGTATGTGACGAGAACTGAAACGGTGGGTTGATAGCTTTGAAATGTGCGTTTTTGTGATTTCTCCACAAGTAATTGTGGAAGTGTTGTTGAGTATATTTGCACAGTCCGCATAAACTTTGAACAATTCCAGAGTCGTCTAGGATCAAATCTCGATTCATTGCGATTAACAACCGTTTCCTGATTAAAGAAACGTTGTGCAAGATGATGTATCAGTGAACGATTAAAACCGATTCTTGTCAATGAAATAATTAAGTCCTTGTTAGGGCTGCATGAGTAACGCCAGAAGAGTATCGTTGGTCTCCCCACCAAATATTTTCAAAAGATGGCTTTTAAAATATTATATTCAATTTTACTGGCAATATTATTGGATTGAAAAATTGTATACATTCCAAACTAAGATTCTAAATTTTTTAAAAAATTAAAAAAAATCAATTGAAAATTAAGAACGGCGTTTTTAATTAAATATTCAATTGACATTGACACAGTAAATATCGTATCGTTGCCTGCTGTAACCTGCCGCAAAACTTATTGAGAATCTTTGTTCATAGTCTTTTAGAATCCGACCGGGAGTACTCTTGAGAGTATGCTTTACTCGTTCCTATTTGCCTATCTTTACATGAGAGTCAAAAGTATTCGCCAGTGAAATTACTTGAAGAGTAAGAGAAGAAGTTTCCCATCCTCCACCCATCGTTCTTTCCGCCCATTTGTTTTATGTGGCAAGTACTCCTTTTTGAAAAGTACTCCCTTTTGAAAAAATAAGAGTGAGGCGAGCACTTTTTTGTTGAAAAAATTAAAGTGAGTTTAAAAATGTTTGAAATGTTTACTCCAAAGCATGGTAAAATTAAGGAGGTAAAGTCATTTCAAATGAGACTATCCTTCTCTTCATATTCCGTAATTTACCTTGTCAAATTTCACTAAATAAAAAACAGGGTTCTATCTCTGATTTCTGTGTATACAATGGATTTATAAATATAAATTTTGACAGCCAGATGTTGTCAAATGAATAATTTAAAAAAAAAAAATTGTAAACATATAATTGCATGACTTTACCTTCTTAAAATGGAAAAATAAATGTAAATATTCGGTGATTTGAGGGTAGTAGCACACAACAATTTTTGATATTGCTGTGGACTGTGGAGAAGATGGTGTACAAAGAGAGAGAGAGAGAGAGAGAGAGAGAGAGATAGAGAACAGAATGTATTGCATTCGCTTTCGGAAAAATATCCATACACAGAAATAAAACAATGGCATTACAAAAGCTTAAAGACTACACGAAAGAAGTTGCATCTACTCAATCTCGAGCTTATTTTACCCCCACTCTATAAAATCATATGCGTTCTTATTAGAGCGGCTTCGATAAATAGAGTATACCCGATTTCTTTTTTACCTCCAGCTACATTCCTGCGTAGTACAACACAATTGTCATTAGTAAACGTATTTGTATTGTCTTTACAAATAAATCCTCCCATGTAAGTAGGATGTGAAGGTGTAGTAAGCCCAAACCATATATTTGGCACTTCATCTTCTGACTATCACCGATTATTTTTTCAAATATATTCTAAAGGGAATGGTATAGAGAACATTACCTCAATTTTGTGATAGGTATAGAAATCCGTTTAGCTGGTAACCTCTTGGAAACCCCAATTTTGGACACAAAGTTCTCGAAGAAGGTTTAAGTTTGGAAAAGGTATGCCATAGGTGCGGCTTGAAATAATATTCCCGAGTGTTTTCCTTTCGCAAAAAATTTGGGGAATTCATTTTTGAAATAATAAAAATATGTTTTTTTCTTCCACTGTTCAAACGTGTATGTATGTCTACACATCTTTGGTTTCTATACATGTTACATGGCCAAATTAGTTGGATATTTAATAAATTGGCCATAAAGTGGGTAATAACTAATTTCATTACAACAAAGCTACAAATGAGACAATTAAATATGGAAAACAACAACAGGTGCAACTAACAAAATATAGGTGGTGGGTCAGGTGTGTGTTTTTATTTTATTTTGTTCATCCACAATGTTAAGAGTAGCACACACTGACAAGAGCACTTTTTGTCTCTTTTACTCTGTAGTTACAGATATGTATGTAAATGTTGGCTAAAATACCATGCAAGCCATGTTGTATGTTGATCAAGGCTATAGATGGTATACAAAATATGGCTGAAGTTCGATGGGTAGGAAACAGTTTGACACTTTTTCAACAATGCATAATATTACCTTCATTAAGCCACTGATAGAGGGAGAAAGAGATGGAGAGATGTAATTGCATTTATTTATTAATTGTTTTAAAATATTTTTTTTAGAATTTAAATAAAAAGCCAGCGAAAACATTTTAATGTTTCCTCATTTTCACTAATTGTTTGATTCAGAGACTTAATGGTTTTATGTTTTTTCTGTGAATTTTCGAAACTTCAAGAAAAGTGTAAAATATTCTGTAGCTCTGTATATTTAAAAAGGCGCTCAATTCTATTTTTATTTAATTTCAATTTAGGCAAATAATACACTATGCTTTATTAAACTAATTTCTTTTGTTTGATTGTAAAGTGAAAAAAATTTTCGGTTGCTTATGTAAAAATTAGTAAATAGCAAAAACCTAACTAGCAATTTAGGAAATTAATGTTAATTTTACTCTTTCAAAGACTTTCCCAACAGCAGCAATGTTTCCTATTAATTTGTATGTATGTATCTTTGTATTTATTGGCGCAGTCTATGTATCCCTACGACTATGTACTGCGCATTATCATCAATAATTATATGTAATTGTAAATTTAATTTATGTCCTAAGATGTGTACATTAAATAAAATATTAAAGAAATAACTTAAAATGAAAATTTAAAAAAAAAATAAAAATAAAAAGAAATATATCAAATATAAATTGTGAGTTTTATTAAAATACTTTTATAGGGGAAAATAACATAACAATGTTGGTTAACATTTAGATCAAGGTGTAAAAAAAAAAAAACAAAAAAAAAATGATTCCATCAAAGAAATAATATTTTCTCATTCGCACACACACACACTTTCATCTGGTTTCATTTTAGTCTAACTTGATTTAGATTGTTGACACCGGTGAAGAGTTCCAAAGTATGTAAATTTTATCCGTGAAATATAAACTTGAAGATGACATTCAACAACGTAGAGTCTGTATATAAGCAAACTAGCAAGAGACCGCTACTTCGCCAGCGAAAAATCCACCTTAAATTTTACATTCGTTCCACTAGTTCATTTTAGTATTCATTATTTCTTGGACAAATTTTCCAAAAAAAGCTTTATACATAGAAAAGTATAACCGAAAAATATTTTTTTTCAAAATCTTTCGTTTTGAAGTTTACCAAAGAGAATATCAGTTAAACGCATGCACAATGGTCCCACATCGAATTTTTCTGGCCAATTCTATTTCAACGTCTTTTTATAATAAAAATTTACCATGGTGGTCTTAATCCTAGAAAGCAAGAGGCTTCTAGCTCCATACATTCACTCAACGGCAAATGGTACTACCATTTTGTACAGGGTTGCCCATATTCGACGGACCTTTGGGCCCTTTGGGCCCATTCCAAGATCCTTACCAGTCGAAAATTTTTCGTATAAACGCTTAATGGTGTTCTTAGAAGGCGCACTTCTCACATTTTTTAATGTTTTAAAAACACGATGAGTTATCACAATTGACTTCTTGTAAATTTCAAGTATTTCAGGGCGCTCGCGTGGCGAGTATTGGTTCATGGTAAAAATCCGCTTGGACTGACGCTTCAAACGCGGTATATCATTAAGCGATGTGACATCTCTGTCAAAAGTTATGGCGTTGCCAGATGGGTCCGTCGAATATGGGCAACCCTGTACTTTTCCAACAATCATAGTACGTATTCTCCAAACCACCACCTTCACTCCATATTTTATATTTCCAATCACCCTGCGGTACATTTTGTCGTCAATGCAACCACCTGCTCTCAAAGAGACACCAACAGTAACCTCAATATCAAACTTCCAGATTCCAGCTCTATTCTTTCAGCCAAAACGAAATATATTCCGTACTTTTCGTACTATTACACATTTCCGGAACCACCTTCTTATCTTAAACACAGACATCTATATCAAATTTTAGGATTTCAGTTCCATACCTTCATCCAATACTCAGAGACCAACAGAGCTTGACTATCAAATTTGGCGATTACAGCTCTATATCTTCTTCAATGTCAAATATAGTACCATTCAGTACTTTTCGCACAATTATAGAACACATTTCCGAAACCACTTCCACATGTCCAGGCTACACATGAACACCTACCTTAATACCAAATTTCTGATTTCAAGCACTATCTCTTCACCCAATACAAAATATGTACTAATTTGTACTTTTCGTTCACTTGTAGTACCCATTTCCAAAACCGCCTGTCTGTCATAAACTAACAATCAAAAACCACCAACCATAAACATTTCTAAATTCCAGCTTCACCCGATCACCCTAAATCATACTGTTCAAAATTTAGTACCATTTAATACAGTTCACACACCTAGTACACATTTCCAATACTATTATATATAAAACTTACTTTCCATACCAAACCTCATTTTTAGCTATATCTTTCAAAAGCCCTGATCATGACGTAGTCTTGCTGACAGATACAGCCAAACTTCAACTTAAGACGCTAGCCCTCTCTAAGAGAGAAGAGCCCTTTCTAAGACACTGCGCGTGCGAATGCTATAAATAAGGACGTTCATCCAGACAAAATTAAAAGATGAATTGTATCTCGATGAGAATCGCTCTATAATCGGATTTAAAGCAGCGGATCATTGACTTAGTTTTCCCTGCTGCAAGACCTACGCCGAGAGTATGCAAAAAATCATTAACAAACTCTCAAACTATTATATCTGAAGGGTTCGTCGGCTGAAAAAGCTTCTACATTGGACCAATACTGAAGAAGGGCAGATATTCCTCTTCCCCCGGTATCGACTTCCGCATTGAGTCATAAGGTGTGTTTCGCGTTTAGCACTTCAGCAACTTTAAGATCGTGAGCAAGCGATTATCGATATAAAAAAATTAAGAATATGAAGAGCCCACCGAGTCTTCAAAACCTCGAGACACACAACTCAATGTCTCTAGAATAAATAGAGACCTTTTCTGACGGAAAAATATCTTAAAACATGATTGCAGTGCCCACTGCGGATTGTCAATCAAAAATCCTGTGAAAGAGGAGGATTTTGGACAAAATTTCGGAAAAACCCGTCAATTTAAAGCAAGATAACAAGTAATTTAACTTTGAATACCCTCCACTATTTGGAACTAATTTGAAAAGTAAAAAAATAATAAATAAAATAACTATTAAACAATTTAAAAATTCTGTTCCGTTATTTTGGGGTCAATACGAAGACGTGGACCTGCATAGGCAATTTTTTGTCACAGACTACTACACAGACCATTACGAAGTGCAAATACGAAATTTAAAACAATTCCGGACACTAATGTAGCTAAAATCATCGAAATACGGAATATAGGGAGGTACCGATATTTAGGGGCTATACGAAGACCTGAACCTGCATAGAGAACTTTCTGTCATATACTGTAGTACCTATTAGGAACTTCAAATTCCGGTGAATAATGTCGCTGAAAACAGCAAAATACCGAATATATGGAGTACGGGTATATGGGATCTATACGAAGCTATATGCATATGCAATTTTCTGTCATAGGATGTAGTACCCATTACAAATTTCAAATGCGAAATTAGGCACAGATCTGGTGAATAATGTCGGTAAAATCATACAACACCGAATATAGGGAGACAGAGCAGACAGTCAGACGGGCGGTCATCTTTAAATCGACACAGAATTTTGATCAAGAGTATATATACTTTGTGGGTCTCCACATAAAAACGGGAACACCAAAAACTAGAGCAAATGAGATGTCCTCGAATTCTTTAAATTAATAGACGACTAATATCTTGGGTCGCTTTCGGACATCTGAAGAGAATTAGCAGGTTGGTGCCCTTCCTGGGCGAGCTGCAGCATTTGATAAC